TTTTTGGGGTGTAAAACCCTGTGTAGGTCTATTATCCCTCTCTGTTTTATTTCTTCCTTCAAAGCCAATGTTTCCTTGCTGAGTTTTGTTCTTGTTGATCTATCCAGAAGTGATAAGGTGATCTTCAAGTCTCCGACTACTACTGTGTTGCTAGCAATGTACTCCTTAAAATCTGTTAGCAGTTGTTTTCAGTACTTAGCTGGTCTCTCATTAGGTTCATACACATTTAAAAGTGTGATTTCTTCCTGTTTTATGTATTCCTTGATAAATAGAAAATGGACGTTGCTGTCTCTTCTAAGCTTTTCCAAGCTGAAAATCTATGCTGTCAGATACTAGTATGGTCACTCCAGGTTTTCTGAGGGAGTTGTTTGCTTGCAAGATTGTTTTCCATCCTTTAACTTTGAATCTGTGTTTGCTCTGACTGTTCAGATGAGTTTCTTGTAGACAGCAGAATGCTGTTTTCAGTTTTTGGATCCATTTTGCCACATTGTGTCTCTTGATTGGTGCATTTAGATCGTTGACATTGAGAGAGATTATTGTCATGGGGTTTTGTGCCATCTTTCTGTAGGGTTAGTTGTGTTTATAAGTGTTTTCCTTTTTATCTCATAGGAGTCCCTTTAATCCTTCTTTTAAGTTTGGTTTTGAGTCTATGAAGTTATTGAGCTGTTGTTTATCTATAAAATGATGTATCGTTCCATTGAGTTTGAGTGAGAGTTTAGCTGGACAAAATATTCTTGGTGAGGCATTCATTTAATTTTTTCACTATATCCAACCATTGTCTGCAGGCTTGGAGGATTTCCTCTGATAGGTCTACTATAAATCTAAGGGGTTCTCCTTTGTATGTTATTTCCTTCTTTGACCCTGCTGCTTGCAGTGTTGTGTCTCTATCCAAGGCATCTGTCATTCTGACTATAATATGCCTTGGAGTATTTTTATTAAGGTGTCTTTTAACTGGCACCCTTCTGTCTCCTTGGATCTGGATGTCTGCAGTCTTTTACTCTGGTAACTTTCAGCAATGATTTCTTTCACTGTGGCTTTTTCTATGGGGCTATCTCCCTGTCCTTCTGGTACTGCGATAATTCTAATGTTGTTCCTCTTGGTGTTATCCCCTAAGTCTCTGATTCGCTTAGAGCTATTTTGATGTTTTTTCCCATTGTTTGTTGTTCCCTATACAATTTCTGTTTCTCATCATCAAGCTCACTGATCCTGTCCTCGGCTGTAGTCATTCTACTGCTGAGGGCATCCACTGAGTTTTTAATTTCATCTACCAAATTCTTTATTCGTGATACTTCTTTTTGTAGCTTTTTTATTTCAGCTCTCATTTCTTCCTGTATTTTCTCGACTAACCATTCCACTGTTTCTTTCTTTTCTTCCTTTAATTTTCTTGATATCCACTCCATTGATTCCTGAGTAGTTCCTTGAACATTCTCAACATTTCATCTTGGAATTCTTTATCGGAGAGAACATATTTGTGGCTAACCGCTTTTGAGGACTCGGGACTCTTTTCTTTGTCCTCTCCTCATACTGGAGATTTCCACTGCTTCACGATGTTGTTCTGGTAGTCTAGGGGTAAAACCTTGGAATTCACTAGCACTGTTCCCTCTTATTGCAGGCAAGGGTTCTGAATAAGGTCAGTTGATGTTGGTCACCCTTATCCCCTTCTAGAATATGTCCTTTCTCTCAGGCATTATTCTGTGGCTTATGACAGGCACATTGTGAAGCATTGGAGGAGGTGTTATTTTATATTGTGCTTATAATGCCTCTTTGAATGGAAGTTTACAATATGGAAAAGCTTTATTTTCAGGCAGTCATCTGTTTCTCTTCTCCATTTAACAGTAATGCTCCTACTTTTTAATAGTGAAACTTTAGATGAGTCTCTCAATATTGCTCACTGGAACCCAGAAGCACAGGGTAGGCTGATGGCATCAAAACCTCAGTATTTCCCATGCCAATTTCCAGGAACGATAATCTCACAACACTCACCATCTTAAATTTCATGTTACTCTGTATGTTCTTTATTTTCCTTATAAGGCCAATACATGAACTGTGCCCTGGATGGGTTCACAGGATACAAGAATCAGATAGTGGTAACAGGATGGCTGTATAACCAGTACTTTTCCAAAATCGTAAAGAAATCGTCTTTGAGAGCTGGGTAGAAATCATCCAAATGTTGCTACAGCATTGGGATCTGCAGAGTAAGACTGAGTGACATCCTTAGACACAGAACAAACAGGAAAGCTGGGTTTCTTGTCATTGGGAGCCTTGTTTATCTTATACCTTATTTTCCACCTTATTTCATATATGCTTAAAATATATCACAACAATGAGAAAAATTCCCAAGGACAGGAGGTTTCCTAACTCCTAGGAGACTCCAGTTGTACTATGGCTACAGCCCATAACTTGGTTTTATTAATTGCTGGGTATCAAAGTTGCTCCTACAGAGTCCCTACCCAGTAAGAAGGTGAACTTAGACATGTGGCAAACAGACTTTGAACCCCACAACAGTTTCACTTCTGGTCTGCACCCTACAACCATTTCGCTTGGGAGTTTCATCCAGTTCAATTGCAGTCCGTGTTCTGTACTCAGTGAAAAGAAGCTGCTGAGGAGACTGACTATAAAAATGTGAGTGTTTGTGGTAGAGAGAGTAAATGTAAGACCAAGGATGGCTCAATGAGCCTAAGCCCGTGTTTGTGAGTGTGTGTGTTTGTGTTTGTGTGTGTGTGGGGGGAGGTGAGGCAAGAGAGAAAGATGGAGAGACAGGTATATGGAAACCCTGACAGAGATGATCGAGATAGACACAGAGATAGAGATAGAAAGGAATAAACATATGATATCCTCCTACTTAGGAATCCCTCCAGCAGTACCAAGAAGACACAGCCAAAGCATATTATCTTGATAATATTCTGGGATGTATGTTAGATTTTTGTGAACATATATTTTGAAATAAGTTTTTTCTATCATCTATCTGTCCCTAGGTTGTAATCTATCATTTTTTTAAAAAAAGGTGCTTTTGATGCTGTTATGGTGTAAATAAATAGCACTGTAGCACTGTCCTCCCCTTGTTCATCGATTTGCTCGAGTGGACCAGTAATGTCTCCATCCTGAGACTTGTTGTTACTGTACTTGACATATTTAATATGTCACAGGGAGTTTGCCAGGCTTTGCAGTGCGGGTGAGATACTCTCGGTAGCTTGCTGGGCACTTCGAGAGGGGTGGAAAAATCGAACCCGGATCGGCTGGGCCGGCTGCACCCAAGGCAAATGCTCTACCTGTGTGCTATCGCTACACCCTGTAAATAAATATGGTAAGAAAAACTGTCTGTATATAATTTTCATTGTAAACCATTAAAATTATCTATAATATAAAGACCATTTTCTGAGGGCTGTGTCATATATAATTATTTGAGTTTCACTTCTCTATAATAAACACTGTTTGTGTTTTTACATATATGGTGAATAGTGTTTTTGAGAAGTATTTGCACAGTCATTTTGCTCATTTAAACCTGTTTACTGAAGTGGTATATTACAGTTATGATCTGCTTGTGTAAAACATCCACTGTATCTGAGGTGAGACTCACTTGGTAATATAAATGACATTCTTGTCATGTGGTTAGAGGTATTACCAAGATTTATTTTGTGTTAACGTAAATTACTTTGATTTAAAAGAAAAGGTAAAAAGAGTAACACGCTCAAAAGAGACTCTGAGCTTCTCCAGAGGAGCAAGAGCCCTGAATGATATTTGGAAAGAGGTTCACTTAATCACTTAACTTCCCGTTAGTCGTCGATTTGCTCGAGCGGTCGCCAGTAATGTCTCCATTTGTCCCTGTCGCTTGCTAGTGTAGCCAAATGGTATCTGTTCGCTCTGGGAACATGAAGAGCCTCAAACCGATCATTCATGATCTTGATGAAAAGGTCTGACCATCTGGTAGGTGGGTGGCCACGCAGTCTTTTGACATCCCACAGAATCCAGTCGGTAAAAGCTCTAGTCCAGCAGTCATCTTTAAATCTCATTACGTGAGCAGCCCATCTGATATTTGGAAAGAGGTTATATGTGAATATCCTTCTCCGTGCCTTGGTTGGAAGTTCTAGGCCCTAAGTCTTGTCAGGCATTGTCAAAAAGGAACAGTTTTGAACTTCTGATGCTTTCATTACATTGCCGTTGATTTTTTATTTTGATTTTTGTCTTTGCCACAGAAGGTTTATTTCTGGCTCTGAATTCATGGATCATTCCCGGCAGGGCAAAATTCTTTCATCCATTTTGTTCATGCATTAGTGAAGTCGTTTGATTCTGAGCTCTTCTTACAGAATCTATCAGTTACAGGTTCATTTTCTCTGCTTCTTCAGAAGCTCTTAACAAAGCCCTAATATTCTTCTCTCCTCAGATCAATTTTTCTTCCCTCAAATCAGGGAGGATAAAAGAATGAACATAAAAGTTGCCTATTAGTTTACATTGTCACTCTAGAGTAGTCTCTCTGGCTTCATTGATCTGATATTGTTTTTCCTTGTAGGTATGGTTAGATACAATACAAAGAGGGATTTTCATTAGTCAAATATGACTCCACTGAAAATTCTTCATTGATAGCCCTAATTCCTAAGTGTTGCTACTAGCAGAAGCAATTGATCAGAAACAAAGCATTCATGATGTTTTGTACAGTGGTAAATTTTTTTAAATGCTTCCTAATATCCTTTCTCTTCTGATATTATTTGTGTGAGAAGAACATCGGGCTTCTCTCAGATTTCATCTAGAAAAAAATTTCTATGGTTTATGGGATGTTATCTTTCTATACTGCCGGTTATATCAGCAACTATGAAATGCCTAAAACTAGTTAAATTGACCCACTAGATTTAAATATTTAAAATTCTGTATTCCACACCCAAATCAGGCTCTAGAAGTATCAATTCTATCACAATCATTTGACAAGTATTTCCATTACTTAAAGAAAAACCCATCTCTTTGATCTCTTCCACTAGATCAAATATTAAAGATTTCCAGGAATAACCATGGCCTCAGAAACAGCTAAAACCATGAGGGAGGAAGCCACCTGCTCCATCTGCCTGGACCTGATGACTGAGCCAGTGATGATAGACTGTGGGCACATCTACTGCCGTTCTTGCATATTTGAAAATCTTGAGAACCAGAAAAAGAAGTCACCTACTCTGGGAAACTTCCAATGTCCTCTATGTAGGACGCAGTTTCAAAAGGAGAGCATCCGGCCCAGTAAGCAGCTAGAAAATATCATTGACACCATTAAGAAGATGGAGCAGGAGCATCGGTGTGAAAAACACAAAGAGAAGCTCAGCCTGTTCTGTAAAGATGATGGTCAGCTTATCTGCTGGTGTTGTGAGAGGACACCAGAGCACCAAGGGCACACCACGGTCGTTGCTGAAGCTGCCTGTCAAGATTACAAGGTGAGTGTGAGTACTGTTTAGAGTGCTTCAGCAAGTACCCGTTCCTCTCTTGCATCCATGGACCTGAAATATTTTAATCTGAAACCGAGGATAATGTTATAGCTTTCATCACTTTAGTCTTCAGATAATCTTTATAACGGCTGTCTATATAATATAGACATATATAGACATGTTAATGCATATACACAGAATGTTCTCAAACCTTTATATACATAATTTAAAATTTCTTGCCTAATGACTTTTTCATTAGATATTACAGCTTTTCCCTTTCCCTTTCTAATTTTGTCAAGAGTGTTTTCCTAGCTATGTTCTGTGATCCAGTGGTCACTTCATGTGACACAAGACCCAGAGGCCTGGCTGTTCAGTGCTAGGGCCCTTCAGTGCTGTGGACCACCAGGTTCATACCTGGCCATAACAGGAATAGCAGTATCATATATGTTGGCGCTCAGAGAAAATAGCGGTCTGGAGATCAAATTCAGATTCCTAAAATAGCATTTTCTCTGTCTAATTGATCTTCTATTTGGGTTTGCATTTAGGGACCATACCCACAGGTGCTCAAGGTTTACTCCTGACTCCATGCTGAGCATCCATTTCTAGCTGTGCTAAGGGAACTATATGCAGGATCAGACCAGGTGTGCTTTTACAAGGCAAACACCTTAACGCCTGAACTATCTTTCTATCTGTTCCAGGCCTTTTTTGATAAACTTTAGTGGTACTTGGCCAACCCTTACTTTTATTTAGTGTTACTTATAGTACTAATAAAAATGTCAAGGTGACCTATTATCGTATAACTGAAACCCAAGCACGAAAGTTTGTAAATCTACAACTGTACATCATAGTGTTTCACTATAAATTATTATTATACATTATTATATATAGTTCTTTGAATAATGTTCACTGGGGGAAAAGTTAGCATTGTATACCTTAGAAGAAGGTTTCAATAGAAGAACCTGTTTTTTTAAATAGAATAATGATATTAATAAATATACCAATTACTCATGTTGTCCAGGAGATGAAAACTCTTCTAAAATTTTGATTATTGAATCACGATGAGATACTCAGTTACCAAGTGTTCATGACTGGGTGTCAGCCATACAGTGTTCCGACATTCATCCCTTTCATTGGTGTACATTTCTTGCCACCAATTTTGCCAGGTCCCATTGCTTTCCAACCCCTCCCCCACCAGTCTGCCTGTATGCAGACACTCCTCTCTCAGGGGATCAAATTTTTCACTTCAGAGTCAGTATCTTTGAAAGTGTAAGGACTATAAAAGTTTCCAATATTATTTTATGATCGAAAGTCTGTTATCTCTCCTGAGACAGATAATAAAAATTATCCAATTAATAAGCCATCATCAAACAATTTTTCTTTCAGGTAATCTTCCAGGAAAAGTTGACATACCTTAGGGAACAAGAAGACCAAAATTATGAATACCAAGAAAACATAAGAGAGCAAATAAAAGAATTTCAGGTAAGAATTTGAGTTCATTGACCTAAAATATATTCCCCCTAGAGTTTAGACATATGGAAAATTAGGCAAAACAATAGGATGCTTTAATATCATTTATCTAGATTTAGAGAGGTAAATCCCACATTATTTGTTTTAATGCTCCTCGTTGGCTACAAATATGAGAATTGAGCTCCTGTTCCTTTGACATTCCACCAGTAATTCTTGAGGAGTCCTAATATCAGTTAGAAGAAAATTAGTGGTGTCCTTACTTAGATTCATCTTGACTTGTATACAGTTTTAAAAATCTCAAAGTCCCTTCCTGTTTGAAGCTTAGACCTACCACTGTGAGAAATTTGTCACAATGCTAGGTCTGGCATGTAATTTGCATTCTATGAAAATAATCTTCTTGAGGAAGAGGGTCTCTTCAGATGGGACTCGTATTCAAAAATTTCATGAAGAGTTGCAGAAAGCAGTGCAAGAACATCTTCAAGGTCAGACTAAAGTCTATTTCTATGACTGACCAGGCTGCATAGGAGAGAAACTCAGAACTTTACTTTCCACAGTGATGTAATCCAAAATCTATACTCATTTTTTCACAAGTCATTGCATTTTGAGGTTTTCTTTCTTTCTTTTTAATTGAATCACTGTGACATATAGTTACACAGTTACAAATTTTCATGATTACATTTCAGTCATACAGTGATCGAGGGCCCATCCTTCCACCAGTGCTCATTGTCCACCACCGTGCTCCCAGTATCCCTCGTGCATCCCCCGTATCCCCCCACCACCAACAACTGTGCAGCAGGCACATTTCCTCTTACTCTCTGTCTTTTGTTTTTGGTGTTATGGTTTGCAATACAGGTACTAAGAGACCATGATGTTTAGTCCATAGTCTACTTTCAGCACACATCTCCCATCCCGAGTGTTCCCCCACACCATCATTTACTTAATGGTCCCTTCTATATCCCAGCTGTCTTTTCCTCTTGCATTTGAAACCAACTTCCAAGCCATGGTGCAATCCTCCTGGCCCTTATCTCTACAGTCTATAGGTGTTAGTCTCCAATTACATCACATTCTATTCCTGCACACAAATGTGTGCAGTCATTTTATGTCTGTCCCGCTCTTTCTGACTCATTTCACTCTCCATGTACATCCACTTCTATGCAAATTTCATGCTTTCATCTTTTCTAACAGCTGCATTGTATTGCATTGTGTAGATGTACCAAGGTTTCTTTACCCAGTCATCTGTTTTCCAGAACTCAGGTTTTTTTCCAGTTTCTGGCTATTGTAAGCAGTGCTGCAATAAACAAATATGTGCAGATGTCATTTCTACTGTATTTTTTGCCTCTCTGGGATATATTCCCAGATGTTATGTTGCTGGGTCAGATTGGAAAAATGTATGCAAAACAATATTTCTATATAATCATAGAAATATATTGCTGAGTCAGCTCTATATATAGTTTTTTGGGGAATATCCATATTTTTTTTCATAAGGGATGGACCATTTGGCATTCCTATCAACAATGAATGAAACCCCTTTCTCCCTGCACCTGGCCAGCACTGGTTGTTCTTGCTTTTTTTGATGTGTGCTAGTTTCTGTGGTGTAAAATGATATTTCATTGTTGTTTTGATCTGTATCTCCCTGATGATTAACGATGTAGAGCATTTTTTCATGTGCCTTTTGGCCACTTGAATTTCTTTTGTGAGGACGTTTCTGTTCATTTCTTCTCCCCATTTTAGATGGTGTTGGAGGTGTATTTTTTTTTCTTGTAAAATCCGATTAGTTTTTTGTATATCCTGGATATTAAGTACCTGTCTGAATTTGATTGGGTAAATCATTTCTCCCACTTCTTGTGCTCTTTCTCTATTTTTGGTCACTGTTTCTTTTGAAGCGCAGAAACTTCTCAGCTTAATGTAGTCTCATTTGTTTATATTTGTTTCCACTTGCTTGGTCAGTGGTGTTTCATCCTTTGGATAACTTTAGCTTGAATATTCCTCCGCCCCTCTTGGAGAGCCTGGCAAGCTACCGAGAGTATTCGATATGCCAGACACAGTAACAACAAAGTCTCCAATGGAGACGTTACTGGGCCCGCTCGAGCAAATCGACGATCAACGGGAGGGCATCATGGAGTATTCTGCTACATTTTGCTCCATGTACCTTATGGATCAGGTATGATATTTAATCCATTTGGATCTGAATTTTGTGATTCGAGGCAGACAGAGGACAGAGTTCTTCGGTTAGCATATAGTTTTTCCAGCACCTCTTGTTGAAGAGGCTTTTCTTGACCCAGTTCACGTTTCTTGCTCCTCTGTCAAAGATTAAGTGATCATATACTTGAGAGGTTGAGTCAGAATGTTCAACTCTGTTCCATTGGTCTGCAGATCATTTTCAAATCCAGTACCATGCTTTTTTAATTACTACAGCTTAATAGTACAGTTTGAAATGGGGAAAGTTAGTGCCACCTATTCTCTTTTTCCCAAGGTTTGCTTTAGTTATCTGTGGAGTTTAATTGATCCATATGAACTTTCCAGTAGTGTTTTGTCTCTTTCTTTGAAAATTGTCATGAGAATTCTTATTGGGACTACATTGAATCTGTATAATGCTTTGGGGACTATTGCCATATTGACAGTGTTAATCCTCTGTATCCACGAGCAGGGGATATGTCTTTTGTTCTTAGTGTCCTCTTTCATTTCTGGAAGTAGTGTTTTGCCCTTCATCTATGTAGTTATGCTGATTCCAAGGTACTTGATTTTCTGAGTGACTATTGTGAATGGGATATTTTTTCAATTTATTTTTAATAGTGAGACATCATGAGCTACAGTCTTTTTCTTAATCTCTCTTTCTTCTCTTTCATGTTTGTAGATACTTTTGGGTACTGTTTTTGTAACCTGTCACTTTTCTATTATAAACCTATTATTTCTTGGAGTTTCTTAGTAGAGGCTTTAGGGTTTCCTAAATAGAGTAACATATAATCTGCTAATGGAGAGAGTTTGACCTCTTTCTTTCCTCACTGTATTCTCTTGATATCACTTTCTTGCTTAATTCTTATGGCAAGTACTTCCAGTACTATATTGAATACAAGTGGTCAGAGTGTGCAACCTTGTCTTGTACTGGATATTAGAAGGAAGGCATTTAGTTTTTCCCCGTTGAGAATAATGTTTGCTGTGGGCATATGGTAGATACATAGCTTCAACTATCTTAAGAACAATTCCTTCGACTCCCATTTTGCTGTTAAGTTTTTATCAGAGATGGGTTCTGGATCTTGTCAACTGTGTTATCTGAATCTATTGATATAAACATATGGTTTTATCTTTTCTTTTATTGATATGAAGGATTATGTGGATTGACTTTCAAATGTTAAATCATCCTTGGATTCCTGGGATGAATTCTAATTGGTGTTGGTGTATGATCTTTTTGATCATTCCTTGATTAAATTTTGCTGTAATTTTGTTGAGGATCTTTGTACCACTATTCATAAGAGATATCGGTCTCTAATTCTCTTTTTTGGTGGTGTTTCTGTCTGCTTTGTTATGAGGGTGATATTTGCCTCATTGAGACTCTTTGGAAGTGTTTCTGCTTCTCCAACTTCTTGGAAGAGTTTAACAGGATTGGGAGTAGGTGCACTTTTAGAAGGCTTGGAAGAATTCACTAGTGAATCCACCTAGACAAGGACTTTTCTTTTTTGGAGGACTTTTGATTACTATTTCAATTTCCTTGATAGTTTGTCCAGGTACTCAAAGTCTTCTTGGGTCAACTTTGGGAGATTATAAGAGTCCAGGAATTTATCCATATCTTCAAGGTTTCCCTTTTTCTTGGTACAAAGCTTCTCAAAGGAATATCTGATTATCCTTTGAATTTCTGGGGTTTCTGTTGTGATGTCCTTCTTTTTTTTGTTTCTGATTCTGTTTATTAGGAATCTTTCTCTCTTTCCTTGTGAGTCTTGCTAGTGCTTCATTAATCTTGTTGATTTTCTCAAAGAACCATCTCTTCTTGTTTTTGATATTTTGTACTATTTTTTCAGTTTCATGTCAGCGGGTAGGGCGTCTGCCTTGCACGTAGCCAACATGGCCGACCCGAGTTTGATTCCTCCGCCCCTCTCGGAGAGCCCGGCAAGCTACCGAGAGTATTCGATATGCCAGACACAGTAACAACAAAGTCTCCAATGGAGACATTACTGGGCCCACTCGAGCAAATCGATGATCAATGGGAGGGCCTTTACTTTACTTACTTACATGTCATTAATTTCTGCTCTAATGTTTATTATTTCTTTCCTTCTGGCATGTTTGTGCTCCTTTTTTTGGTCATTCTCCCGATCTTAAGCTGTGAGCTTAGTTCTTTATGTGGCATCACTCATCCTTTCTGAGAAATGACTGTAGAGCTATTAAATTTCCTCTTATCACAGCTTTGTCTTCATTCTCATTCCATTATAGGAATGTCTTCATTCTCATTCTATTGTGTCGAATTCAATTTGCTAGTATTTTGTTGAGAATCTTCACATCTGTTTCATCAGGGATATCGGCCTATAGTTTTCTTTTCTTTTGGTGTCTTTGTTTCCTTTTGGTATTAGAGAGATATGAGCTTCATAGAAACTGGGAGAGTTTCTGTCTCTTCAATTTCCTGGAAAAGTTTGAGAAGAACTGGCAATATTTCCTCTTTAAATGTTTGGAAAGATTCGCTAGTGAATCCATCTGGACCTGGGCTTTCGTTTTGGGGAAGACTTTTGATTACATTTTCAATTTCCTTGATATTAATAGGTATTCTAGATCTTCTTGATTCAGCCTTTCGAGATTATAGGAATCCAGAAATTTATCCATTTCTTTTTTGTTCTCTTGTAGAGCTATTTAGAGGTCCCTTGCCATTGTTTGTTGTCGTCTGTAGACTTCCTGCAGCTCATCTTCCAGCTCACTGATTCTGTCTTCAGCTGTAGACATTCTACTGTTGAGGGCATACACTGAGTTTTATTATTTCATCTACCGAATCTTTTATTCATGTCATTTCTGTGCATATCTTTCCAATTTCTGCTCTCATTTTTTTTCTGTATTTTCTTGATTGTTTCTTTCATATCCTCCTTTTATTTACTGGATATCTGTCGCACAGTTTCATTGAGTTCATGAACATCTTCATTACATCATATCTGAATTCTTTCTCAGAGATTTCCCTTAAGTGAGTAACACCTAATGAGGTTTCTGGGCTGTTTTCATTGTCCTCTCCTTGTGATGGGGATTTGCATTGTTACTTCAAGTTAGTGTGGTGGTATGGAGACTGAGATGTTGCATGAAGTTGTTGGGTATGAGTAATTTACCTGCGGCCGCATTAGGATCCAAAGGCCCCAAATTAGGTCACGCCCACTTCTACAGTAGCCATGCCCACTTTGGTAGAGGCAACGCCCCCTATGGGTACCTGGTGTGTGTGTGTGGGGGGGGAGGTACAACCTGTGAGAAGAAGAAGACCGGGCTATTTGTTGGGGATGAACAGGAAGAGGCTCAGGTATGGTGGCCATCCCTTGGTCCTAGAGAACACCTGTGGAGTGTACACAGGGAAAGCGAAGTCCTGGGTTAGAATAATGACGGACATGAAAAGAGAAGCAGACTGGGTTGTGTGTTATGAACAAACAGGAAGATGGACTCTGTGTTTTTTCTGACGGTTCAGACATGTTTTTTGCAGGCCGCAGGATGTTGGGTTCAATTTTCTGATCCATCCTGTCATTCTTTGTCTTTTAATTGGTGCATTGAACCCATTGACATTGAAAAAGATTATTATTATCTTTGGGCCCTTAGTGTTTCATCATATGAATCTGCTGTGAATCTTGAGAATGATCCTTTATTATAAATTTCTTTCTTCGATCTTGCTGGTTTCACAATATTATCTCTCTATATGGTCTTCATCATTTTGATAAGGATCTGTCTTGGAATATTTTCATTTGGATTTCTTTTAGTTGGTATGCTTCCAACCTCCTGAACCTGTTTGCGTGTGATCCTAAACTCTGGAAATGTCTCAGCATTTATGTGTTTGGCAGTTTCTTCTTCCTCGGGGTTTTTATTCCTGTCCTTCTGGGACACAAATGATTCTTTTGTTATCCCTTCTGGCTTCATCTTGATTTTCTCTTGTCATCTTCCATCTTATCTAGAGTTTCCCTTCCATTTTCTGCTATTGTCTGGATATTCTCTGCACCTCATCTTGGAGTTCACTGATTATGTCCTACATAGCACTTACTCTGCTACTGAGGCCTTCCACTGATTATTTCATTTCATGTACCATTTTCTTCAGGTCTGCCATACCTGCTTATATTTTCATTTGCATTTTCCTCACTTCTACTCTCATATTATCTTGTATTGTATCAGCATTGCATTCCATTGATTCTTTGAGATCCTCATACATCCTTTAAAATGTCCATTTTTAATTTTTTAATTTTTTATCTCAGAGGTTATATAGCTCATGGTTACTGTTTGGTTCATCAGGGCGAGAAACTTAAATCATTAAGCCTGGTGGGTTTCTGCATTGTTTTACTATTATGACCTTTTTGCTTTGGAGTTTTGTCCAGTGTTCTTTTATGTCAATGAGCCTGTGATGGGATTATCTTTGAGTGTTACCATGGCTTATTGGTAGGTATGTAAAGATATGTGAGGCCTGGGTTAATTAGTGCCTAATATGTGGAGTGTAGGCACAGCAACTTCTTTCTTCCCTCACTATAAATCTCATGGGTAGTGGGAGGATAAAAGTTCCAAGACCCATGTAGAGAAATCCAAATCCCTGAGAATGAAATTTCTTGTTTCCCATAAAAGTTCTATTTAATAATAATTGTATGAAACTATTACATTTTGATTATTTATTTAGAGATAAAATTCCCCCATTTTTGGGCTATGCTTTATTCATTCTAGTCTGAAATTCTGAGTAAAGAAGAGTGCATCAAGTATAAGTTTAAGGTTTTTCATATGATCCTGCACATGGAGGAGGAATCTTATCTATGGAGACTGGAGAATGAAAAAGACAAAGTTCTCAAGAGACTGAAGGACAGTGAAGCAAAGCTGGAGGAGCAAAGCCAGGAACTCAACAAACACATCCAGGAACTGGAGAGGAAATGTCAGGGCTCAGCCCAGGAGTTACTGCAGGTGAGACTGTGCACATGGAAAAATGGATAAAGGCATAAGTGCCTGGGGTTTTAGAGAATCAGGTGAGGAATTTGGAGAAATGGTTTAAATTTTTATTTTATCCAAAATATTTTATTAGCCTCTACTTCCTCATCCTTTCTAACGCTGCCTTATTGGTGGCTCTTTCAGGGTCAGGGAAATGGGACCGATTGTACTTACTGGTTTTGGCATATTGAATGTGCCACAGAAGCTTGCCAGGCTCTGCCGTGCATACAAGGTATTCTTGGTAGTTTGCCAGGCTGTCCGGGAGTGATAGAGGCTTTTAGGGAGGCCTCTAATCGCCTTTGCAGGTGTTCCCTTGGTTCAAACCATATTTGAACCTCATCAAATGTGGTGCAGTAATCTTGGAAGACCGGTATTAAGTATCTTATGATGTGTCCAGAAAGCGTCCTGGAACGTGGCAGCAGCTTGGTTGTGGAGGCAGTGTAGGTAGTAGAGGTCTACCGATGAAGTATTTATCTGGTACCAGTAGGGTGGGTCTTCTGTGTGTAATCCCTGGATTTCTGGAGATTGGTGGAAACAGACAGGGCAGGGTAGTGTCGGGATTCTGAATTTAATCCCTGGGTCCCCAGAGATTGGTGGAAGGAGGCAGAGGATCTCTGTTCCTGGGTCCTGTTGAGCCTGAATAGTGGTGTTTATACATACTCTTCAAAGAATTATTTTGGGTCCTGGATCTTAGAAACATCTTGAGTGTTGCCATGTGGGCCCAGGAAACCAGTAACTGCAGGGTTGTTGATCAGCACAAGTTTCTTAGGTGGCCCAAGAGGGACCCCTAATTGGAGAGCAATTCTGTCCAAGAGTCACTGCCACTAGCTACCACCATATGAAGCATATGAAGAAATGAGGAATGAGGAAGGAGAGGTTGATAAAATCTCAAGGCCAAACTAGGCTGCCACAGCGAAGAAGGACAAAAATGACTGTCTGGATTTTCAATGCACATATGCTGCCATCAGATGCATCCTACAAGGACTTGATGGTAATCAGGTACGACATCATTGGTCAGAGTGAGATAATAAGGTATCAATCACATCATGCCTTTTTTGACACTGGAGAAGAACTGTTCCTTGAAACACGGGACAAAAAATGCAGCGGTGGTGTCAGTGTCCTCGTCAACATGAACATGGCCATGAACATTGATTCATTCAAATGCCTAACAACCCAAATTCGAAGATTACACTTGAATTGATGTGGCTCACTGCTGGCAGTTTCTATCTTCATTGTCTACACAACCACATCCAATTATGATGAAGGAGAAATTGAGAAGTTCTACATAGAGCTGGAGAGGTTCTATAAAGAAGACCACACCATCTACAAGATCATTGTCGCTGATTTTAATGCCAAGATAGATATCATTCCCATTGTGCTCCCTTCCGACATGCCATTTCATCGGTAAAGAAGCAAACAGAACCAGGCCCATACAAGGTCAGATACAAAAACCTGAAGAACCTCCCTTCAGTACTCATCAACACACTGGCTCGGCTCTTCACATACTACCTGTGTGAATGCAAATTTCCATATCAATGGAAAACCAGCAGGACTGTTCTACTTAACAAGAAGGGAGACATCCACGATATTGGCAACTATCACCTGATCTGCCTGTTGTGTGGACTACAAGCTGTTCACTCGAATCATCCTGCATAGGATTGGGAGAACACTGGATGAAGGACAACCATGCGAGCAAGCCGAGTTCTGAAAAGGATACAGCACGATCGACCATATCCACACAGTAACCAAGCACAATGAGGTTTCTTGGGAGTTCAAGATGCCGCTCTAACATTTATTGATTTAAAGAAGGCCGTTGATTCTTTTGAGATAGAAGTGGTCATTGAAGCCCTAGCCAAACAGGGCATTCAAACTCAATATATCCAGATCCTCTGTGAGCTGTATTATGGATTCACTACCAGGATCTCACCATTCTACAAGGAAGTGATCATCCATGTCAAGGGAGGGGTTCTGCAGGGTGATACCATTTCACTGAAACTCTTCAAAGCCACTCTTAAGAATATGATGCAGGAACTGGAATAGGAAGCAATGAGAGTGAAGATAGATAGATGATCGGCAACTACACCGCCTATGCCTCGCTGATGACATTGTTCTAATAACACAAAACATTAGCCAAGAGGCACAACTGCTGGCAGACTTCAACCATGAGTGTGGAAAGGTCATACTACAGCTGAATCTCACAAAGACAATGTTTATGAGACACAGTCTCGTTCCTACGTTCCATTTGCTCTCAACGGAACGAACAACTCCAAATGCAACTGTTACATGTACCTAGGTGAAGAAGTCAACATGACAAATAACCTGGCACCTGAGTTGCACAGGAGGAAGAGAGGGGTTTTGAAAGCCTTCAAGAGCATTGAAGAAATAACAAAGAGGATAAAAAACCTCTGGCTCTTGGTACATCTCTTCGATTCCACTGTTCTTCTTGCATTAACATATTCCTCAGAGTCCTGGGCCCTATGAAAACAGGATGAAAAGGCTACTCGAGTCTCCCAAAGACAAATCGAAAGAGCTATGATTGGAGTATCCTGCTTCACTCAAATGAGAGAAAGAATCCAGAGTATTGACCTCTATCGATGACCAAGAATCATGGACAATGTCTCATTTGCCAAGGTATTTAAAATCAGATGTGGTGGACACATAAAGAGGTTTTGAGATTACCATTGAACTGGAGCCATTACCAATTGGATTCCACAGGATGTCAAAATATCGTGTGCCCGCAAACCCTCGAGATGATCAGACTTCTTCGTCAAGACCCTGAATGATCAGTTTGAGGCTATTCATGTTCCTAGAATGAGCAGTTGCCATTGGGCTACACTAGCTCGCTACAGGGACAAGAGGAGACATTACTCTTGCCTGTTCAAGCAAACTGATGAGTAATGGGATGTCAAGTGGTCAAGTGATCAAAAACATACCCACATATGGTAAATTTAAGTGAATTCTTCTTTACATGTGCCTCTATTCAGATGTCCTCTGCTAGTATGTAGAGTTTCTCTGTGTAAATAAAGGAGCACATATGAGGCTCCTTGGAAAGATATCAAGTTCTAGGAAACATGAGAGAACTTTGGTAGACATCTGTTAGCCTCAGTCTAATTTCTAGAGATTTCTAGTGTGAAATGATCTCCTCAAAGATATGCTTGTTGACTGTTGGGGGCTAAAATGAGTCATCAACATCATTGATAAACTTACTTCATGATTTGCTCCTGAATCTTGCTCAAGATTATTTTAAGCTATCGTAAGGATATTGCACATTGTGGTAAATGCCTGGACTACTTATTCTATATATATATATATATATATATATATATATATATATATGGTATTGCAAGACCTTCCACCTTAGTCCAAACTTGCTGCCACCAACTTTGGGAGTCAGTCTCACGGCCTCTATGGTTATTCACCTGAAAGGACTTTTTGTACAGAGAAAAGCATAAAACTTTATTGAATGAAATTAAAGGAGACTTTAATGTCTTAGAGTCAGATGGACATTTTAGATTGTGACACTTAATGAGCAAAGATGTTAATTCCCTCCCCAATCTATGTATTCAGTGCATCCCACTTGAAATCCAAATAGACTTTGGATTTGAAATTGACCATCTATATCTAAATGTATTCGGCTGTAAAAAAAAGCCATCTTTTCTAGTTGTGTGGTGAGGATGAACTTCGGAAAGTTAAGAGGAGGTGATGATTTTGCTACCTGATATGCAGAAAAGAAAGGTAGGGGGTGTTTTTGAAAAGCTCTTCATTCAAATGGGGAGGGGGTAGTAGTACAGTTATTTCTCTATGGCTGAGTTGAGGGAAATGGGCAGAAGATAGAGAATAACAGTTTTGCGCATATGAACAATGAAAAATTTATTGTATTTTATATGTTTTCCTAAATTTCTTTGAACTTGTTACTTCACAGAATTTTATTTATTTAACAATTCATTTATATTTTTGGAGATGCTGTGATTTACAATACCTAGAATGCCAGTTTTGTGCATACAATGTTGTAGCACCGCACCAACCCCAGAAGTGTGTACTTACCTTGACCAGTGCCCCAGTGGTTTCTTCCAACCCACCCCATTCCTAAATTTCTAGAGATTTTGGACAATAAACTGACCTGAAAGTCAGGAGTTACCATACCTGAACTCGGAACCAAGATTTTTTGAAAATTTTTTTAGTGAAACACCATGAGGTACAGTTGTAGACTTACAAATTTTTGTGCTTGGGTTTCAGTTATACAATGATCCAATACCCATCCCTCCACCAGTGCCCATTCTCTATCACCACCAGTCCCAGTATCCCTGGTGTAAGGACCTTTTGTGAGAAATAATGTCCACTGTAACCTCTTCAGAAGAAATGAGGTCACTGAATGCAACACGGGCCTAGTGAACAAGTTTGAGATAATTCCAGTGTTTCCTCAAAAGATCACATCTGTTTGTCGAAATTATAATTCTCGTATTCCAAAAAATAAGAAAACATACTCTGAGGTTGATCACATACTGTCATGATAATATAATGGGTCAGTGTTTCTCTCAAAAGCTGTGCATGCACAAGTGAAGGTAAACAAGGGTAGAGAGGTTGAATATCAATGGTCTATTAAAGTGCTTATAACTGCTAGTCTGTGGAATGATGTGCAGATGGATGTTGGACCACATGTGGAATAATGTGCAGATGGATGTTGGACCACATGTGGAATAGGTTGAAGAATGCTTTGCTTGGACATAGAATAGGAATTTTTCCCTAGAAATTCACTAATACATTGAGTACAACCATTACATTTATTCTTTAGTGTAATTATAAACATCCACCCATCAAAGTTTTATGAAATACTACTTTTCCATACCAACATCTATCTTTCTTTCATTATAGGATGCAAGAGACACTTTGAACAGGTGAGTGCTCTTGGAATTCAGGAGAGAAGATAGTAGCTATATGAAGCCTAATGGAATGTTTCTCTGATGAAATTTCTGGACGTTTCTCTAGGATTTCTGATATGAAGTTAAATGCACCAGAGGACGTCTCATTGAATATTCACGCTATGCCTGATTTTGACAGCATTTTCTGTGAATTGATAAAATTGTTTGAGACTGATCATGGTATGTGATAAAAAAATTTCCCTGAATAATACAGACGGGAGGAATATACTGGGCAACATATTGTACTACACTTTCCTCTCCAAGTTCTAGGTAAAGTATTGGTTTTCTTGATAACTCTTCAAGCTCTTTCTCTCCAGCTCACTAGTAATGTCCCACAGGGAAATAACCTCTATATCTGTCCCATATGAAAAACATAAGCACTAACACTTTCCAGTGGACTATAACAAATTTAAAACAAATCATCAATTACAGAAAGTTTAGAGAAGAGGGTTCAGAACATAATGATTATATTTATGTCATTCAATTCCCAGAGTAATTCCAGAAAGTTTGATGAAGACTGACTATTCTGCCAGTGGTCTTAGGAATAGACTAAGTAGCATAATAAACATTTCAAACATTTGAAAACCAATTGCTACTTAGTAAAAATCTTGCTTTTTTTCTTTATTCTTTTCATAATTACTTTAATTCCAAATATCCTACCAAGAAAACTCTGAAACACGAATTTTTTTCATGATGTGTTAGGCTATGAAAGAAGAACAGTTATGACATTTTTCTTTATGAATTTATTGAAAATATTGTGGTTAGAAATAATGTAGTGTCAGGTCTGAGCACAACATAGCAGGTCGAGTGTTTGTCTTGCGTACAGCCAACCCGGGTGTGATTTCTGTGCACCAGATGGTCCACTGAGGTCGGGCAGGAGTGATCAGTAAGTGCGGAGTTAGGAGTAGGTTTTGAGCACAGTCAAGTGTGGTGCCAACCCTGCCCCTCTTTCCAGTAAGAAAAACAAAAGAACTCACAAGATTTCAGTAATCTTACTACAGCTCAGAGAAAACCTCGACCAGAACTCTAAAATAATACTGCAATAAATGATCGCTGGGCTGTGTTTTCATCTGGAAGCCAGCACAATCCACTTTCAATCTCAATGTGATTGTTGGCAGAATTCACTTCTAGATGCCTGTAGGACATGAGCTACTAGCTCTTTGCTGGTTGTAGGCTGGATGCAGCAAAGACTGTGTTTCCTGAAGAAAACTCAAATGCTTGTGCATGAGTCTCCCAACATGGTCGACTGTTTCTTCAAAATGAGGTAAAAAATGCTAGAGTCTATAGCATGTATCTGATAGAGTTATTAACACTCACATAATAAAAGACAATAACAGACATGCAACCCCATCATTTTTAGTGTTTAAGTCCAATGTAACTTGAGTATTTATAGCTTTCTGATCTGAAAATTTGTAATACAAAATTTAGAACAAAAAGAGGAGGGGATTATTCAAGTAACTGTTAGATTGTTAGCCTCAGAGATAAAAAATAAAATAGCTCTGTTTTGGCAGCATTGTGTGTGTCAAAGTGCTTAGAGTTTAGAGACATTGCTCTGCAATTGTGAGGAAAAAAATGATCTGAATTCTAAGATATGCTATGCATCATATGATTAATGTGATAAAATCTAATGCTCCTATACTGTGAGAGCACTAAACCATAACTGGGGTGATGATGGAGGCAGTTGCTAAATATATAAGAGCAAAATAAGCTTCCTGTAATTCAGTTTTATATAACCAGTTTAGTGTGTTTCTGCAGACATTGTATCTCTCCATTACTATAACCAGTGATCAATCAGATCTATTGATAACAATATCACATCCCTTCTCTATCTAAAATGAAACCATTACAGTATTTTTATTATGTATTAATTATGCATTAATGTTTTGTTATAAATATGTAATTTTTAAAATTTTCTATCAAAAACCTTAAGATTTTTTTTACTCCTCATTCTAAGTTCTGTTGCATTCTCTTGCATATATATGTATATAAAGATATATCTATATATCTATATATATGTATATTGATATCACAGATGTTTGCCTTGCACATGGCCGACCTGGGTTTGATTTTTCCCTTCCTCTCAGAAAGCCGGGCAAGCTACTGAGAGTATCCTGCACACATGGCAGTGCCTGGAAAACTCCTTGTGGTAACAAGAAGTCTCATAATACAGATGTTACTGGTGCCTGCTCCAGCAAATCGATGATCAACGGGAGGACAGTGCTACAGTGATACTAGAGAATTATGCTGTTCTAAGAGCAAAAATTATATATATATATATATATATATATATATATATATATGTAGTCCTCCCATTATTCATCGATTTGCTTAAGCGGGCCCAGTAATGTCTATCATGAGAATTGTTGTTACTGTGTTTGGCATATCAAATACGTCACAGGTAGCTGGTCAGGCTTTGCCATGCAGGTGAGATACTCTCATTACCTTGCTGTGCTCTCAGAGAGGAGCAGAGGAATTGAACTGGGGTCGGCTGGGTCGGCCATGTGCAAGGCAAATGCCCTACCCTCTTGACACACTTCCTTTATCCAGTTTTCTGTTCTTGGAAACTTGAGTTGCTTCTAGATGTTCACTGTGTTACTAGTGCTGCAACAATCATAGAAGTGCAAATTGTTTTTCTGAATAGAGTTTTGGGGTCTTTGGGGTAGATGCTCAGATATGTAATGACTGTGTCATATAGAAGTTCATTTCTTATTTTTTGATATTTGTCCGTTTCCTAAAAAGGTAGAACAAAAAGACCTTCCCAGACAATGGAAGAATATTTCATTTCCCCACATTCATGCCAATACTGGTTGTTTTGTTCTTTTAGCTATTTGTCAGTCTCACTGGTGTGAGATGATATCTCATGGCTATTTTAAGATGAGTTTCCCTGATAGTAAGTGATGGAGAACATTTTCATATCCCTGTTGGTCATCTGCATGACTTCTTTGAGGAAGTGTCTGTTCATCTTTCATTGATTCTACCCTCCACCCCCTACCCCTCATTCTTTTGGTTTTCCTTTTGTCTACACATTTTGGATGGGTTTTCTCACAAGGTTTATTTTTTAACCATTCAATGTATTCAAATGTGTTCAATCATCTCCTGTTAAGAACTCATTGAGGATAGTTTAAAAAGTGAATTAAACAAAGATTAAATAGAGAACAATGAATAAGGAACACTGGAGAAGTTAGAGCTGAGATAGTCAGCAAGTTCTCACCATGCTGGGTCTCAAACACAGGTGGAGGGATCTGAAGAACAGGGGAGAGTGTGACCTGAGAGAGAGAAGTGCAGACTCTCAGAGCCCTGGAGAGAAGCTTCCAGAATAATGACTGCCATTCCACCTCTTAGTGTCACAGGTTCTCCCCAGTACTCTCATTGGATAAGTACAATGAATTCAGGTAGAAGGAAGGAAGCTGGTTTGTCACAGTCCTGAGGTTAGAAACACAAGACATTAAAAGGTGGGGAGTGGTCTGTAGAAAAATATAAGGTACAGATAAGAAGTGTTTCTGCATTCTTTATTTCCTTTGTGCTTCTGTCCATCTACTTGGTGTTTAACCTTTAACCAAGGACACTTTAGGTCACTAAAAGACTAGCTCTCTAGCTAGAACACTTTCTTATCATGTTTTAATTTTAAATTGTGCTGTTGGCTAGTACCAGTATGACCATTCTATGCTTGTTTTTTTTAAACTCTACTCAGATCAATTTTTGTTCTTTTTGTCCTTGGTACATCATTTTGTACTAATCCTTATGGTGTATGAGAAACCGAAGAGTGAATCCTGAAAGTATATCTCTATCCATGTGCTCTCAGGCCCCAATAGAATTCTTTGTTTTCAATAGCCATGTATGGAATTAGCTGTATTTTCCCATTGTGATATTTTGGGGTTTTTTTGTTTTGTTTTGTTTCGTTTCACACATTAAAAATAAGTTCGTGTCATTTGGGTGAATAGGAGGACTTTGGAGAAGAGAATTAGTAAATATTTCAAATATATTCATTATGTCTTTGGGCTGGAGAGATAGCACAGCGTTAGGGCATTTGCCTTGTGTGCTGCAGGCCCTGCAGAGTCAGATTCAATTCCTCTGTCCCTCTCAGAGAGATTGGCTAGCTAGGGAAAGTATTTCACCCTCACGGCAAAGCCTGGAAATTACCCATGATCTATTTGATATGCCAAACACAGTTACAATGAGTCTCACAATGGAGACGTTCCTGGGCCCGCTCGAGCAAATCAATGAGCAATTGGAGGACAGTGCTACAGTGCTACATCTTGTCTTCGGCATATATTAGTTTGAGAAAGATATATATCATGTTAAATATGAACATTTTAGTAATCAGAGCCTTCAGAGTCTACTGTTACTACTACCAGATATTTCAAAATCCTACAGAATGACAGTCCTGCCCAGTTCAAAGCACATATTAGTTCTTCAATCCTACACACCATTCTTTGTGTCAGATATGATTTCTATTTCACTTTTTAGCAATAATTTTAATTATCATCGAGGCTTTCAGACACAAATTTTTCTTTTGAGTATTGGCTGATAACAGTTGAATATTACTGAGCATTAAGCATGAAGTAACCATATCATTTTGTTTTCTATTGTTTTTTATTTTAATAATTTCTTTGCAGTTAACGTTACTGTAGATCCAGATACCGCTCACGTTAACCTAACTGTGCGGAACAATGGAATCATGGTGACTGGTGCAAATCTCATACTGGACGACACTGACGACACTCCTGCTAGGTTTAAGGACTTACCCTGCATCCTGGGATGTAACACCATCACCTCAGGAAAACATTACCTTGGAATGTTTTATATGGGTGGATCTGAGTGGGACGTCGGGGTGTGTCTGGAAAATGTGTCAAGAGACAATCACAAGACACGGGATCCTGAGTCTGGATTCTGGGCCATCAGACACTGCGAAAATAGAAACTCTGTAGCTCTTATGTCACCCAGAACACCTCTTTATTTTTTGCAGGCCATTAATTTTATAGGGGTTTTTCTGGACTATGATGCTGGACTTGTCTCCTTTTATGACTTGGTAACTTGCTCCCACATCTTCACTTTCCCAAAGGCCTCGTTCTCTGAGCCTATCAGGCCTTATTTCTATATTAATGAAAATTCTTATTTGAACATTAATGGTCCATATTGGGGCTGGAGTGATAGCACAGCATTAGGGTGTTTGCCTTGCAATCAGCCAACCCGGCGCCGCCAGGTTCGATACCTCCACGGCTCTCGGAGAGCCTGGCAACCTACCAAGAGTATCTCACCTGCGCAGCAAAGCCTGGCAAGATACTCGCGACATATTCAATATTAAAAACAGAGTAACAAGAAGCCTTAAAAAAATAGAAACGTTATTGGGACAACTTGATCAAATCGATGAACAATGGGAGGACAGTGTTTGTTTGGTTGTGATTCATATTTGTAAGAAAATTGTAAGAGAAATATTTTGAGATTTGTAAGAAAAAGAGCATGGTATCTTTATTCTTGTATTCAATTCAAAGTAATATGATTTAAATTCTGTGAAAGAATAAATTTTGGGTTTTTTTCTTAATTATTTTTTGTAACCTAGAATGATGCTAAACTTTAGTAGATACCTAATATATTTGCATTAAATGAATGGATATAAAGACTCAAAGCAAGGACCACAAATGAGGAACCTGCTTTAAAGGGAAATATATCAAAGACCATACACTATCCAGTTGACTCTCTACAGTAGATTCAGATTTATGAAATAAAAACTAGGCCTTTGTAAATTCCGCCAGTGATTGATTTCTTCTTAGTAAATAAAAGCATGCTGAAACAATGCCCAATCAATGTCCCTAGCAGTGTCTTGTGAATATGTTGGGAGAATACACTCAGGACTAAAGCAGTTAATCCCAGATCCTAGGACAGTTTCATATGACTCACAACAGTAAATGCAAGCTCAGATCAGAGAAATATAGAATAGAAATAGTTTTATTAGAAAAGAATATTCACGAAAGCCTACCGAGGCCATGAGTTACCCCCCATGTGCGGCTCTCCAGCAAGGCCACGGCACATGAACTAATCAAGACCCTAGCATCTTGTGGCAGAAGAGTGAATGGACTATGAGTTAAATTATGGCACCATGCCTCCCTGGAGGAAAAAGGTTGTCTATCTCTTCTGCCTTTCTCCCCCTTTCTTGGCAGCAAGGTGCCTGAGTTTATTGTAAAACCAGTTATGAGCTGGCGGTGACTGGGCAACTGCAGCCTCATGAAATGGGGGGCATTACTGGCTCATCCTTCACACCCTACTGAGGCCACGAGTTGTCCCCCACTAGCAGCTCTCCAGCACGGCCATGGAACCAGACGCACAAAAACCAATGTCATAATTATATGGCTCTGGGCAGAAATCCCTCCAGACGTAACTAGTAAAATATCAGAAATCTAAAATCATGGCGCTGTAGTTAAATACATAGTCCATTCACATGGCTCTGTATTTTAATGCATTGTGCACAATAGTGGCCATGCGACATCATACGGTTTTCCAAACCAGCAAGAGAAAACAAATTATTTCACAATGCCTTTTCAGGAGTTCTGATTGTTGGGGGGAAATTCTAAACAGTAATAGCGTATCTTTTGTCGAAATAATAAATGTAATCAAAGAAGAGAGAGAGTTACGTAGAAATCATCTATCTCACAGGCATTGAAAGGAATTGGAGGGGGGTATATTGGGCTCCTTCTTGTTGGTGAAAAATAACTACTGGCTAAGGGAAGGGTGTTTGATCATTGTATGACCAAGACTTAAACCTTAAAGCCTTCTAAATTTTCCGACATTGATTCAATAAATAAATGTAACCAAAAAAAAGAGTATTCACTTAAGAAACAAAGTCTATAGATTTCTCTCACTTCTGGGTTATAAAAAAACATAGTATGAGACTAAACACAAGGACAGGAGAAATGAGGGCCATATGCACTGTTCCATGTTTTGAAACTTGTTAGATATGTTTGCTGAAGCAGGATGTGTGAGGGTATGTTGGGTCAGAGAAAAGACTACTATGACAATGAAGTTTAGAGATGATCACTCTGGATGCAAATAAAGGCTGAAAGGAGGCAAAGGGATATACACGATAAGCTTCAGTATTTGTTTTGCAAACCATAATGCCCAAAGGAAAGAAAGACAGACAGAGAGACAGAAGAAAAGGAAAAGTCCCTGCAGTATAAATAGTCTAGGTGGGGAGTGGGTGTTTCAGGATGGAACCTGGGGACATTGGAGGTAAGAAATGTACATTGTTGAAGGAACAGGGTGTTGACAAATTTTATGACTGGAACCCAATATTGAACAACTTTATATCTTAAGGTAAATCAATAGAAAGGAAAGAATTAAACTGGGTGTACATATATGCTAAGAATGAGGAGCACTGTTCCTAAGTAAGACAGCTTGCTTACTCTCAGTCAAATCTATCATAAACAGAGAAAGAAAACCTATTTATTTTCAATTTCTAATTTATAGAGCTGTGAATGCACACTGTGGATAAATGATGTGTTCGGTGGCTGAGAGCACCACCCAGGTCTCCCCAGCAAAGGAACAAGTAGACAGGGGACCACAACCTAATCATTAATATGACCCACTTAATGCAGAACTGTTAGCATACTTATAGAATATCTGAAGCAGTTGAGGTATAGGACTGCATGGAGGTGTGGTTGATCATTTACAGATGTAAAGTATGTCATTGGAGGCTATTCTCTTGGGAGCATTAACTCAAGGAGACACTGTTTCCCATGGACATCCATACTGCCTTTCTCTTTTCCTTCTATTGTACGTTTTAAAAAAATTAAATTTACTTCTTATTAATCTCTTAATCACTTAACTTCCCGTTAGTCATCGATTTGCTCGAGCGGGCGCCAGTAACGTCTCCATATGTCCCTGTCGCGTGCTAGTGTAGCCAGTGGCATCTGTTCGCTCTGGGAACATGAAGAGCCTCAAACCGATCGTTCATGATCTTGACGAAGAAGTCTGACCATCTGGTAGGTGGGCGGCCACGCGGTCTTTTGACATCCCGCGGAATCCAGTCGGTAACAGCTCTAGTCCAGCAGTCATCTTTAAATCTCATTACGTTGTCCCTTTAGTCCGGCCGCCCATCAGAGCTGCTTCCTTGTCCCCCATCCCCCAGGTTGGTCTTTGCACCTCCCCCCTGACCTGGGACTGGAACCCCACCGCGCAAGTGTCTGCAGGCGCCTCCCCCCCCCCATGCTCGGAAGAAAAGGGGATCTGCGTCCCTCTCTGCCTGTCCCTTTGGTCCGGCCACCCATCAGAGCTGCTTCCTTGGCCCCCACCCAGTCTTTACTTCTTGGACAAAAAGCAGGTATCTGCGGAGGCGTGGCCACTTCAGAGATGGGCGTGGCTTTAAAAGTGGGCGTGGCTTAATTTTCGGCAGGACAACGCTCACTTGGCCGCAGGTTGTTCACTCAAACCAACAAATATTACCCCTCCACATACACAACAACATGAGGAAACAATGCAAATCCCCACCACAGGGAGACCATCAGGAAATCTCTCAAGAAGCCTCAGTAGGAGCTAGCCACCTTAGGGACCTCTCTGACAAGGAATTCAGATATGAAGTCATCAAGATGTTCAATCAACTCGATGAAACAGTCACACACATATCCGCTAAACTGAAAGAGGACATGAAAGAAACAATCGATCGCACAATTGACAAAGTACAGCAAGAAATGAGAGCCGAAATTGGAAAGCTCCGCACAGAAATGGCACGCATTACAGATTCCATAGACGAAGTCAAAACCTCACTCACTGCCCTCAACAACAGAAGGACCACAGCTGAGGAAAGAATCAGTGACTTGGAAGATCAGCTGCACCAAGCCAACAGACAACAGCAAACGATGGCAAGGGACCTCAAAATAGCTCAAGAGCGAATCAGAGTCCTACGAGATGATTCCAGAAGAAACATTAGAATCATTGAACTACCAGAAGCTCAAGGAAACAATCCCAATGAAAAAACCTGCTGAAACAAATTATTGCCGAAAAATTCCCAGCGCTCCATGATACAGCCATCCAGATTCAAGAAGCCCGAAGGGTGCCAGCTAAAAGAGACCCCAACAGAAACACCCCAAGACATATTATAGTCGGAATGATCGATGCTGCTGATAGAGACACAATACTGCAAGCAGCAAGGGCAAAAAAGGAAATCACATACAAAGGAGTACCCCTGAGATTCACAGCAGACCTCTCAGAGGAAACCCTACAAACCCGAAGACAGTGGCGAGATATAGTAAAAAAAAAACTCACTGAAATGAATGCTTCACCAAGAATACTCTATCTGGCTAAACTCTCGCTCCAAATAGATGTAAAGCTACACTATTTTCTAGATAAACATCAGCTCAGGAACTTCATAGACTCAAAACCAAACCTAAAACAAGGACTAAAGGGGCTACTATAAGACAAGACAAACCCTACAACCACAACACACCCGCACAGAAACATGACACAAAACCCCATAACCATACTCTCTCTCAATGTCAACGGTCTCAATTCACCATTGAAGAGACACAGAGTGGCAAAATGGATACAGAGACAGAATCCAACATTCTGTTGCCTACAAGAAACTCATCTCAACACTCAGAGCAAACACATACTCAAAGTCAAAGGATGGAAAACAATCCTGCAAGCAAACAGCTCCTGTAAAAAAGCTGGGGTGGCCATACTAGTATCTGACAACATTAATTTCACCCTGAAAAAGGCTAGAAGGGACAGTGAAGGCCATTTTCTATTCATCAAGGGATACGTACAACAG